CTGTTTTATGGGTTTTCTTCTCAGGGGGGCCCCCTGCCTGTCTTTGCCTAGGGCGCCAAATTTCCTAAATCCGCCCCTGCCTATCAGCAATTAAAAATAAGATTCTTCAATAAGTCTTGAGCAAGTCTTTTAATGTCCGAGGCGCAGCTGAATGCACCATGAATATGAATCCGCATACCGTATATGCGAGTGAGGCTGGACCGAACTGATCATCGGAGAGCAGAGTGTGACGTCAGGGCGCAGTTCCTTCCCGCACCACAGCACAGGGTGTTTATTCTTCAGCCTATAAAGAACTTTGATACTTTTCTAACCCTCAAAAAATAAAAGATAAGAAGATTTAACGAAAACCAGAAACCACCATCAGCAAAGGTAGGACTAATCACCTTTTATTATGTATTTAACCAACATAATGGTTAAGTTTCGTTTCCGTGGCTTATGGCAGACAGCACTAATTAAGAGAACAAAGTTTGATCCTGGAGATTATTCATCTGTTTAGGTCTGGGAGCTTCTGAAGGTCGGTTTTTCTAACTATTTATTCACTTTTTCCTCTTCATAATTTTTTCCTCATCGAATGAAGAATATTTAGAAGATGGAGAAGCTTGAAGAAGCGAGGAAGGAGCTGAAAGAACTGAAGGTGAAAAATGGCATATTTGTGTCTATAATACGGCCTCTACCTTTTTATGTCCAGTCAATATTAATAATGATCATAATAATAACTAAATTCAACACAAAAGCTGCTGTTTGGTTGGTTTTCGTTTCGGTTTTGAACAGTAGTTACATAACCGCACAGATGGGGGCGCTATAAACAACTGATTTATGTTTTAAGCCAGACTGAACTTGCCCAGGGTGCTTTAGGTGGCGCAGATTTATCAGAGTCTTAGACTAAACTAATCAGCATAATTTCATTAATAAACCAGGTGTTGGGATTTTTGCTGGTGTTTTAAAAAAGGACTGAAGCCGTAGGATTTGATCCTTTTTAAAAAGAAAAATGTTCATAACGTGTTAAATGTTGGTTTTAAGTTACTCGTTTACGGTATTAGTGACAATTTATCAGCTGTTTTCTGTCAAACTTGGTTGATATGCATTGTGCATATTCTAATATTCATTTTTTTTTTTT